TGTTGGGGTTGTTTTGGGACGATTTGGGGAATTTTGGGGATTTTTGGGAATTCAGGAGGATTTTGGGGTGCTTTGGGATGGAATTTGGGGAATTTCGGTGGTTTGGGGGGATTTTTGGGGGATTTGGGGGAATTTTTTGGGATTTTTTGGGATTTTTGGGGAATTTTGGGGGGGTTTTGGGTGTTTTTGGGGTGTTTTGGGGTGTTTTGGGGTGTTTGGGGGTGTTTTGGGGTGATTTTGGGGTATTGCTGGGGTATTTTGGGGTGTTTTGGGGTGTTTGGGGGTGTTTTGGGGTGATTTTGGGGTATTGCTGGGGTATTTTGGGGTGTTTTGGGGTGTTTGGGGGTGTTTTGGGGTGATTTTGGGGTATTGCTGGGGTATTTTGGGGTGTTTTGGGGTGTTTGGGGGTGTTTTGGGGTGATTTTGGGGTATTGCTGGGGTATTTTGGGGTGTTTTGGGGTGTTTGGGGGTGTTTTGGGGTGATTTTGGGGTATTGCTGGGGTATTTTGGGGTGTTTTGGGGTGTTTGGGGGTGTTTTTGAGGTGTTTTTGGGGTTTTTTGGGGTGTTTCTAGGGTTTTTTGGGGGGTTTTTGGGTGTTTTTGGGGTGTTTTGGGGTGTTTTGGGGTGTTTCTGGGCCCTTACCCGGCTCCGGGGCCTCTTTCCGGACGTGCTCGTCCTCCAGGGCTCCGATGCCGCCGCTGAACATGATGGGCTTGATCCACTCCCGGCGCTGCCCCCCGGGCAGGACCTGCCCGAAGGAGCGGGCGAAGCCTGGCAACCCCAAAATCCGCCCAAATTCACCCAAATCCGCCCAAAAATCCCCGCCAAAATCGGCCAAAATCGGCCGAAATGGGGGCAAATCAAAAACGGCAAAAAACGGGCAAAAATCGGCCCCAAAACCAGCCCGGACCCCCCTGGATAAAGCCTGGCAACCCCAAAATCTGCCCAAATTCACCCAAATCTGCACAAATCCATGAAAAAATTCCAGCTGAAAACCCCCAAAATCACCCAAAATCAACCCAAAATCACCCCAAATCATCCCAAACATCCCAAAATCACCCAAAATCTGCCCAAATTCACCCAAATCCGCACAAATCCATGAAAAAATTCCAGCTGAAAACCCCCAAAATCACCCCAAAAATCACCCTCAATCAACCCAAAATCAACCCAAAATCATCCCCAAATCATCCCAAACATCCCAAAATCATCCCAAAATCCGCCCAAATTCACCCAAATCCACCAAAAAATCCCCACCAAAATTGGCCAAAATTGGGGGAAAACAAAAACGGCAAAAAAAGGGCAAAAATCGGCCCCAAAACCAGCCCAGACCCCCCGGGAAAAGGCTGGGAATCCCAAAATCTGCCCAAATTCACCCAAATCCACCCAAAATCACCCAAAATCATCTCAAACTCACCCAAAATCACCCCAAAATCACCCAAAATCACCACAAATCAACAGAAATCACTGAAAATCACCTCAAGTTACCCAAAATCACCCCAAAATCTCTAAAAATCATCCCAAAATCAGCCCCAAGCTCAGCCCAGACCCCGCGGGAAAAGGCTGGGAATCCCAAAATCTGCCCAAATTCACCCAAAATCACTAAAAATCATCTCAAGTCACCCAAAATCAGCCAAAATCAGCCAAAATCACCCCAAAATCACCCCAAAATCACCCAAAATCACCCAAAATCACCCCAAAATCACCCCAAAATCACCCCAAAATCACCCAAAATC